CAATAAGTTTTGGCAATGTATTCTTAGTGTATATTCAAGGTGTATGATGAGTGTATCTTTATATTCCAAAAGTGTATATTAAGTGTATCCTGGGTGTGTCTACATATCATCAGTGTATTAGGTCTATTTAATATAGTATATAAATTGTATAACACGATAATAGTGTATACAATGCAAGATTTTAATGCGCTTTTACTTGTAAAAGTATCAACGTATAAAGTTATACATGCAAGATAATTGTATTATATTTTGTATAAAGTTATATATATATTGTTAAATAATGTATAAAATGTATTATACATTGTATCCTATTGTTTTGGAATAATGTATTCTTAATATATTATTAAGACTTTATGATAGATCAGCAAGTTATTCTTTTTTTTATACCAGGTGATTTAATTCTTTCTTCTTCTTGTTTTCTTCCTTCTTCTTCTTCTTTAGATATAATGTATTTTGTGAGTGAAGATTTTTTGCAGTGGGTTTATCAGCAGTGGGTTTTGGGTTTAATGGGTTGACTAGATTTGGTAATTTGTATTATAATTTTTTTATGAATAATTGCATATACGCAATTTAACAATATATAAAAAAATATATACATGTAAATATATATGAAGTTATACCATTAAATGTAATTGTATTACATTTTTTGTATAAAAAGTGTTATGCGATGGTATAAAACTTGTTATAATATATATTATATATGTTTGTATCCTAATTTGGCAAATGTATTTTTAGTGTATATGAAGTGTATGACTGAGTAAATAGTTTTTATATCTAAAGTGTATATTAAGTGTATTCTGGGTTGTGTCGTATATCATGAGTGTATATTGTTATTGCGATGTAGAACTTGTATATTACATATTGTTAATCCTAAGTTTGGGCAATGTATTCTTAGTGTATATTATAGTGTATAACCTGAGTATATTTTTTATATCCAAAGTGTATATTAAGTGTATCCATGGGTGTCTGTATATCGGTGGAGTGTATATTCTTTAATATAATAAATAAAAATTGTATACATATCTGCTTTTACTTGGAAAAAAATCATCGTATAAAGTTATCATGCAAGATAATTGGTTATTATAATTTTTGTATAAAAGTTGTATATAATATTGTTTATGTTAACGTATAAAAATGTACATATACATCGTATCCTGAAAGTTTGAAAATTGTAATCTTAATATATATTAAGTGTATCCTGAGTGTGTTTGTGTATCATGGAGTGGTATAATTCAATTTATATATTGAAATTGTATGATTGTATATCAATGGTTTTCTTCTCAAACTACTGTCATCGGTTTGAAGAATCTAGACAAATCACAAAAATTTAATTCAATGTTTAAAAGGATTAACTAAGACCCAACGTTACGATGCATGATACTAGAGTGGCATTTGGAAGTCACAAGATTTTCTAGTCAGCTTTGATTTTCTGATAGTGTTTTATTGGTGGTTAAGGAAAAATTTCTTTAAGGAATATATAGACTTTATGATGAGCAATCTAGCAAGTGTGTATTTTTTTTATACAGTAATGTTATCTTTCTCCTTTCTTCTTCCTTCTTAGATCATAAATGTATTTTGTGAAGTGAAAAAATTCTTTTGAAGTGGGTATCGCAGTTGGGTTTTTGGTTTATGGGGTGACTAGGATTGTATTTTATTATAAAAATTTGTTATTGTATTGCTTATACACATTAATACAATATACAAAGATATATATATACATGTAAATATAATTGAAGTTATATTATGCATGATAAATTGTATTACATTTTTTTTATAAAATAGTTGTATATGTAATTGTTATGCATGTATACAAACTTGTATATATATTGTATCATAAGTTTGGCACTCTATTCTTAGTGTATCCTGGGTGTGTCTCTATCTCATGAGTGTATATTCTATTTATATAATATATAAAAATTATACATATCTCTTTTACTTGGGAAAAGATCACGTATAAAGTTATACATGCAAGATAATTGTATTATATTTTTGTATAAAGGTTGTAATAATATATTGTTATGTAAACGTATAAAATGTAATACATCGTAATACGCAAGTTTTAAAAATGTGTATTCTTAATATATATTAAGTGTATCCTGAGTGTATTTATGTATTTAAAGTGTATATTGAGTATATCCAGAGTGTGTTTGTGTATCATGAGTGTATAATCAATTTATATATTGTATAAAATTGTATGTTTGTATATCATGGTTCTTCTTCTCAAACTACTGTCATCGGTTTGAGAATCTAGAAAAATCACAAAAATTTTAATTCAATTTTTGTAATGATTTACTCGAACAACGTTATGATGCATGATACTAGAGTGGCAGTAGAAGTCGCAAGATTTTCTAGTCAAGCTTTTGATTTCTGATGGTGTTTTATTGGTGGTTAGAAAAATTTCTTTAAGGATATAAGACATTATGATAGCTCAGCAAGTTATTCTTTTTTTATACAGGCGATTTCTTTTTCATCTTCTTCTTCTTCTTCTTTAGATCATAATGTATTTTGTGAGTGAAGATCTTTTGAAGTGGGTATCAGTAGTGAGTTTTGGGTTTAATGGGGTGACTAGATTGTATTTTTATTATATACGCAATTATACAATATTTAAAGATATATATACATGTAAATTTAAATGAAGTTATACATGCATGATAATTGTATTACATTTTTGTATAAAAGTTGTATATGTATTGTTTTGCGATGTATAAAACTTGTATATATATATTGTATCCTATGTTTGGCAATGTATTCTTAGTGTATATTAAGTGTATGCTGAGTATATTTTTATATCCAAAGTTTATATTAAGTGTCTCCTGGGCGTGTCTGTATATCACGACTGTGTATATTCTATTTATATAATATATAAAAATTGTATAGATATCGCTTTTACTTGGAAAAAAATCACGTATAAAGTTATACATGCAAGATAATTGTATTATATTTTTGTATAAAGTTGTATATATATTGTTATGTAACGTATATAATGTATATACATCGTATCCCAAGTTTTAAAAATGTATTCTTAATATATATTAAGTGTATCCTGAGTGTATTTATATAGTTAAAGTGTATATTGAGTATATCCAGAGCGTGTTTGTGTATCATGATTGTATAATCAATTTATATATTGTATAAAAATTGTATGTTTGTATATCATGGTTCTTCTTCTCAAACTACTGTCATCGGTTTGAGAATCTAGAAAAATCACAAAAATTTTAATTGAATTTTTAAAAGGATTTACTCGACCAACGTTACGATGCATGATACTAGAGTGGCAGTAGAAGTCGCAAGATTTTCTAGTCAAGCTTTTGATTCCTGATGGTGTTTTATTGGTGGTTAGAAAAATTTCTTTAAGGATATAAGACTTTATGATAGCTCAGCAAGTTATTTTTTTTATACAGGTGATTTCTTCTTTTCTCTTCTTCTTCTTCTTCTTCTTCTTCTTCTTCTTTATATCATAATGTATTTCGTGAGTGAAGATCTTTTGAAGTGGGTATCAGTAGTGGGTTTTGGGTTTAATGGGGTGACTAGATTGTATTTTTATTATAATTTTTTTATTGAATATTCCATATAAGCAATTATACAGTATTTAAAGATATATATACATGTAAATTTAAATGAAGTTATACATGCATGATAATTGTATTACATTTTTGTATAAAAGTTGTATATGTATTGTTATGCGATGTATAGAACTTGTATATATATTATATCCTAAGTTTGGGAATGTATTATGCTGAGTATATTTTTATATCCAAAGTGTATATTAAGTGTATCCTGGGTGTGTCTGTATATCACGAGTGTATATTCTATTTATATAATATATAAAAATTGTATAGATATCGCATTTACTTGGAAAAAAATAATGTATAAAGTTATACATGCAAGATAATTATATTATATTTTTGTATAAAGTTATATATATATTGTTATGTAACGTATAAAAATGTATATACATTTATCCCTAGTTTTGAAAATGTATTCTTAATATATATTAATTGTATCCTGAGTGTATTTATGTAGTTAAAGTGTATATTGAGCATATCCAGAGTGTGTTTGTGTATCATGAGTTGTATAATCAATTTATATATTGTATAAAATTTGTATATGTATTGTTATGCGATGTATAAAAAAAATTATATACATATCGCTTTTACTTGGAAAAAGATCATGTATAAAGTTATACATGCAAGATAATAGTATTATATTTTTGTATAAAAGTTGTATATATATTTTTATGTAACGTATGAAAATGTATATACATCTTATCCTAAGTTTTGAAAATGTATTCTTAATATATATTATGTGTATCCTGAGTGTATTATATATTTAATGTGTATATTGAGTATATCCAGAGTGTGTTTGTGTATCATGGGTGTATAATCCATTTATATATTGTATAAAAAATGTACGTTTGTATATCATGGTTGTTCTTCTCAAACTACTGTCATCGGTTTGAGAATCTAGAAAAATCACAAAATTTTTAATTCAATTTTTAAAAGGATTTACTCGACCAACGTTATGATGCATGATACTAGAGTTGCAGTAGAAGTCGCAAGATTTTCTAGTCAAGCTTTTGATTTCTCATGGTGTTTTATTGGTGGTTAGGAAAATTTCTTTAAGAATAAAAGACTTTATGATAGCTCAGCAAGTTATTCTTTTTTATACAGGTGATTTCTTCTTTTCTCTTCTTCTTCTTCTTTAGATCATAATGTATTTTGTGAGTGAAGATCTTTTGAAGTGGGTATCAGCAGTGGGTTTTGGGTTTAATGGGGTGACTAAATGGTATTTGTATTACAATTTTTTATTAAATATTGTATATACGCAATTATACAATATATAAAGATATATATACATGTAAATATAAATGAAATTATACATGCATGATAATTCTATTACATTTATATATATATATATATATATTGTATCCTACCTTTGGCAACGTATTCTTAGTGTATATTAAGTGTATCCTGAGTATATTTTTATATCCTCAGGGGGAAATGACTAGAAGAAGATGTTTTAAGTGCCAAGATGTTGGGCATGTGCAAGCTTATAGTTCCAACCGAAAGGCTGTTATGTTGGTTGATGAAGAAGTCGATTCCAATCATGAAGAAAACCATCCAATTGAGGAAGTTAATGAGGAAGATGAGGATGTCTATGTAGAACCTGATGAAGGTGATATGCTTGTTATTCAGAGGATCTTACATACCGAGTATGAATCATCGAAAGGAGAGGCCCTTTTCCACACGAGGTATACGGTCATGGCAAGGTATGTTCAGTGATTATCATTGGTGGAAGTTGCACTAATGTTGTTTTGGAAGAGATGATGACTAAATTGGGTTTGGAGACTGAGGTACACCCCAAACCTTACAAAGTCGGGTGGCTGCAATATGGTGGAGGTATGAAAGTCACTAAAAGATGCTTTGTCTCTTTTTCTATTGGTACTATAAAGACCAAATTTGGTGTGATGTGGTAAAGATGGATGCTTGTCATTTACTACTTGGAAGACCAGGGCAATATGATAAGCGTGCTTTTCATGATGGATACTGTACCACCTATTCATTCATAACAGATGGATGTAAGATCGTTTTGACGCCATTGGTTTCAAAAGTTGAAAAATCGAATTGGAGCTCGGGAGAAGGCGATTTTGAGAGGGATTTGAAGAGGATATCTCTGGGTAACGATACTTTTACCCTTTCTATTTATATTCCATCAATCTTTAGTTAATTTCATCATTTAATTCCGAAATTTTGGTAGCAATTGGGGAAAAAGTTCTTAGACCTTTAATTGAGGATTTGAGGGGTCATTTGGACTCCGATTTTAGTGTTCTTGTTATATATAGACTCATGAGAGTACGAGATTTCTGAGAATATAAATTTCACCCGATTCTGAGACGTTGGCCTGAGGGGCGTTTTGGTCATTTTACATAATTTGGCGTATTAGCTTTGAATTAAATCGTAGAATCAGTTGCTTGAGATGTTATTTACAATATGCAATTGAATTAAATAGATTTGGGCCAATTGGAGTCGGATACTCGTGGCAAAAGCGTGGTTTCTAGTTGATTTTGAGTCGGTTCGAGGTAAGTGGCTTGTCTTGTGTCGGGGAACTTTACCCTTAGGATATGATATTTGGTAATTGAATGCCTTGTACGTGAGGTGACGAGCGCGTACTTGAGCTAATTGTTGGAAATCCGGCTTTACTTTAAGTATTTAAAGTGAGTTCTTTTCTTACTTGTTTTATTCTACTTGCAAACATAGCCTGTGTTAGTTTAGAGGAGCATGCTTAGTTGAACTAATTGCCTATTTGCTTAAACTGCCTTGATTGCATTACGTGAAGCATGTTAGGCTAGAATTTACTGTTTACTCATTACGGACTTAGTGTTTATTTTGATATCCTTGAGTTGCTGCTGTGTGTTTTAAATTGGGACTACGGGACGACATCCCGGGAGATCCCCTATGCGTAATTATGATATGGATTGAGGTGCGGGATACCAAGAGATCCCTGGCACGTGTATTGAGGATATCAAGAGATCCTCGGGATACCAAGAGATCCCTAGCATATGTATTGAGGATACCAAGAGATCTTCAGGATACAAAGAGATCCCTAGTGTGTATACTGAGGATACCAAGAGATCCCGATTATTTATCTTGTTGTGAGGGGTATTACCTTGTAGTTTGCCTTATTCTCTATTTCCGTTATTGCATTCTTATTATACTGTGTAGATCCTTATTATCGACTCTCAGTTTTATTGCTTATTGCCCTATCATTTCATTATGTATATATTTATCTCAGTAGGGCCCTGACCTTCCTTGTCACTACCCAACCGAGGTTAGGCTTGGCACTTACTGAGTACCGCTGTGGTGTACTCATGCCCTTTCTGCGCATGTTTTTCATGTGCAGATCCAGGTACTGCTGCACAGGCTTACCATCCTTGAGGCAGGGAGAGCTTTGGAGACTTTGAGGTACATCTGCCGCGTCCGCAGACTGAAGAGTCTCCATCTTTATTCAATCTTGTAGTATTAGCCCTTCTATCATACTCTTGATGTAGACATTCCGGAGTTAGAGCATTTTACTATATTTCTCTCAGCTTGTGTTCCCGTGAGTTTCCGGGTTTTGAGATAGTATTTGTAGAAGTTTGAGATATTGTGCTGTATGTGCCGGGTAGCACTTTTCATTTCATTTCCTTTTTGTTAAATCTTGGTTTAAGTTATAATTTTCGCAAGGTTTCGATTGTTTTCCCGCACTTGTTAGGCTTACATAGTCGTAGGGACTAGGTGCCGTCACGACAGTTCACGGAGGGCGAACTGGGGTCGTGACAAGTTGGTATCAAAGCTCTAGGTTCATAGGAGTCACGGAACACAGGCCAGTTTATTAAAGTCTCGCTGATCGGTACGGGGACGTCTGTACTTATCTACGAGAGGCTATGTAACTGTTAGGAAAAAATTCCACTTCATTTGATTTCCTTGTCGTGCGAGATATTGATATCACAACTAAACTTCTGTCTTTCTATTCTCTCACAGATGGTGAGGACACGTACTACCCGAGAGGATCAGGCACCCGCACCCTCTACCGCAGCCGTCAGAGGCCGGGGCCAGGGCTGGGTAGAGGCAGAGGACCCGCTCGTGGTGCAGCCAGAGCACCCGCGCGAGCTGCCGCCGAGGTACCACCAGCAGTACCAGTCGGAGTCCAGACACCCGATACGTCTGCCACTACTACTCCAGCACTCCAGGAGACTTTAGCACAATTTATGAGCATGTCCACCACTTTGGCTCAGGCAGGGTTGCTTCCCCTTGCTGCAGCCACATCCCAGGCCGGGGGAGGAGTACAGACTCCCGCCGCCCACACTCCTGAGCAACGGGTGCATGTTGAGCAGGTCCTAGAGGTTATTCCTCTGCCGCCCGCAGTACCAGTTCAGCCCGAGGACAGGGCAGCGACTTTAGAGGATGAGCAGCGGAGGCTTGAGAGGTTCAAAAAATATGATCCTCCGGTATTCAGTGGATTAGCATCAGAGGATGCCTTGGGATTTCTTGAGGAGTGCTACCGTATTCTCCGCACTATGGGCATATCTGGATCGAGCAGGGTTTCCTTCACTGCTTTCCAGCTTCGAGGAGCCGCCTATCAGTGGTGGCGTGCTTATGAGTTAGACAGTCCGGATGAGGCAGGTTCCCTGACTTGGGCTCAGTTTTCAGATATGTTCACGAGGGAGTATGTCCCCCAGAGTCTTATGGACGCCTGGCGTGCGAAGTTTGAGCGTTTGCGCTGGGGTACTATGACTGTCTCGAAGTATGCTGTCTGTTACATTAACTTGGCTAGACATGCACCAACTTTGGTTTCTACGATTCGCGAGAAGGTTCGCCGGTTCATTGAGGGGCTTATTCCCAGCATCAGATCTAGCATGGCTGGTGAGTTAGAGACGGATATATCTTATCAACAGGTGGTGAGCATTGCTAGGAGGATTGAGGGCAAGCATGCTAGGGACAGAGAGGAGAGGGAGGCCAAGAGGTCTCGAAAGTCGGGCTATTTTTCTGGCGCCCGTGCCCCAACTGCAAGTCGTCATGGTAAGGGCCATATGGGTCGCCCTGTTCATTCAGCTCTTCCAGCAGCTAGTGGTATTCCTGCTCCACCTAGGCCTCAGGAGCCTTATTATGCACCTCCAGTCTCTAGTGCGCCTCCTACACGGGGTGCTTTCACTGGTCAGTCCAGCAGACCTGGCCCGAGCCAGTCACAGCCGCCACGTCCTCCCAGAGCTTGTTTTGAGTGTGGTGACACACACCATGTGGTGAGGGATTGCCCCAGACTTGGGAGGGCTGTACCCCCACAGACCCCTCAGCCGCAGCGCACCCCGCAGAGCTCTCAGGCTATGGTCCCAGCGCCATCTGCTACTCCACTGGCCCAGCCAGCCAGAGGTGGAGGTCAGGGAGGTAGAGGTCGCCCTCGAGTGGGAGGCCAGGCTATTATGCTCTTCCAGGCCGTACTGAGGCTGCCGCCTCCGATTCTGTCATCATAGGTACTATCTTGGTTTGTCACAGAGATGCATCGGTTCTATTCGATCCAGGCTCCACTTACTCTTATGTGTCTTCTTATTTTGCTCCGCATTTGGGGGTACCTTGGGATTCTTTGAGTTCCCCAGTTTATGTTTCTACTCCTGTGGGAGATTCTCTTATTGTGGATCGCGTTTACCGGTCATGTTTGGTTATTCTTTGTGGTTTTGAGACCAGAGCTGGCTTATTATTGCTCAATATGGTTGATTTTGATATTATTTTGGGCATGGACTGGTTGTCGCCCCATTATGCTATGCTTGATTGTCACGCCAAAACCGTGACACTGGCCATGCCAGGTGTACCACGTATTGAGTGGAGGGGTGCCTTAGGTCACACTTCCAGTAGGGTTATTTCTTTTCTTAAGGCTCAGCGTATGGTTGAGAAAGGTTGTGATGCGTACTTAGCTTATGTGAGAGATGCTAGTATGGATACTCCTTCTATTGATTCAGTCCCAGTAGTACGGGATTTCCCCGATGTGTTTCCAGCTGATCTTCTGGGCATGCCACCTGATAGGGCATTGATTTTGGCATTGATCTGCTGCCGGGCACTCAGCCCATCTCTATCCCTCCGTACCATATGGCTCCTCCTGAGTTGAAGGAGTTGAAGGAGCAATTGCAGGAATTACTTAATAAGGGTTTTATTCGGCCCAATGTATCGCCTTGGGGTGCTCCTGTGTTATTTGTGAAGAAGAAGGATGGTTCTATGCGCATGTGTATTGATTACCGCCAGTTGAACAAGGTTACAGTGAAGAAGCGTTATCCTTTGCCTCGTATTGATGATCTGTTTGACTAGCTTCATGGCGCACGGGTATTTTCTAAGATTGATTTGCGCTCAGGTTACCATCAGTTGAAGATTCGGGAGCCAAATATCCCGAAGACTGCCTTCAGGACTCGGTATGGTCATTACGAGTTCCTTGTTATGTCCTTTGGGCTGACCAATGCCCCAGCAACCTTCATGCGTTTGATGCACAATGTATTCCGACCATATCTTGACTCTTTTGTCATCGTCTTTATTGATTATATTCTGTTATATTCCCGGAGTCGGGAAGACCATGAGCAGCACCCGAGGACAGTGCTTCAGACTCTGAGGGAAAAGAGATTATATGCAAAGTTTTCAAAATGTGAGTTTTGGTTGGATTCTGTGGCGTTCTATGGTCACGTGGTATTGAGTGAGGGTATTCGGGTGGATCCGAAGAAGGTAGAGGCAGTGCAGAATTGGCCTAGACCATCCTCAGCTACAGAGATTCGCAGTTTCCTTGGCTTGGCGGGCTACTACCGTCGTTTTGTGGAGGGGTTTTCATCGATTGTAGCCCTATGACTAGATTGACCCAGAAGGGTGCTCCATTTCAATGGACAGAGGAGTGTGAGACGAGCTTTCAGAAGCTCAAGACAGCTTTGACTACAACCCCAATTTTGATATTGCCTACCGGTTCGGGGTCTTATACTGTCTATTGTGATGCCTCGAGAGTTGGCCTTGGAGCGGTATTGATGCAGGACGGTAAGGTGATTGCCTATGCGTCCAAACAGTTGAAGGTACATGAGAAGAATTATCCTGTCCATGATCTTGAGTTAGCTGCCATTGTTCATACCTTGAAGATCTGGCGTCATTTCTTGTACGGTGTGCCTTGTGAGATATATACTGATCACCGGAGTTTGCAGCATCTGTTCAAGTAGAAGGACCTTAATTTGCGTCAGAGGAGATGGCTTGAGCTGCTGAAGGATTATGGCATCACTATTTTATATCACCCGGGCAAGGCCAATGTAGTGGCTGATGCCTTGAGTCGTCGGGCGGAGAGTTTGGGGAGTTTGGCATATCTACCAGCAGCAGAGAGGCCTATGGCGATGGATGTTCAGGCTCTAGCCAGCCAGTTTGTGAGATTGGATCTTTCGGAGCCCAATCGAGTTCTAGCTTGTGTGGTCTCTCGGTCTTCCTTGTTCGATCATATCAGGGAGCGACAGTATGATGACCCTCATTTGCTTGTCCTCAAGGACAAAGTGTTGCATGGCGATGCTCGAGATGTGACCATTGGTGATGACGGAGTATTGAGGATGCAGGGTCGAGTTAGTGTACCTAATGTCGATGGGCTTCGGGAGTTCATTCTAGAGAAGGCCCACAGTTCGCGGTATTCCATTCATCCGGGTGCCGCGAAGATGTATCAGGATGTGAGGCAGCACTACTAGTGAAGACGGATGAAGAAGGATATAGTTGGGTTTGTAGCTTGGTGCCTTAATTGTCAGCATGTGAAGTATGGGCTCCAGACACCGGGTAGATTACTTCAGCAGATAGAGATTTGGAGTGAAAGTGGGAGCGGATCACCATGGACTTTGTATCTGGACTCCCACGGACTTTGAAGAAGTTCGATGCCATTTGGGTTATTGTGGATCGGCTGACCAAGTCCGCGCATTTCATCCCTGTGTGCACTACCTATTCCTCGAAGCGGTTGGCGAAGATTTATATCCGGGAGATTATCCGTCTGCATGGTATTCCAGTTTCCATTATTTCAGACAGAGGTACTCAGTTCACATCGCGGTTCTGGAGAGCCGTACAGCAGGAGTTGGGTACTCGGGTGGAGTTGAGCACAACATTTCACCCTCAAATGGACGGGCAGTCCGAGCGCACTATTCAGATTCTTGAGGATATGCTCCGCGCGTGTGTGATTGAGTATGGAGGTTCTTGGGATCAGTTCTTGCCATTGGCGGAGTTTGCCTACAACAACAGCTATCAGTCCAACATTCAGATGGCACCGTACGAGGCCTTATATGGTAGGCGATGTAGATCTCCGGTGGGTTGGTTCGAGCCGGGTGAGGCCAGATTATTGGGCACAGATTTGGTTTAGGATGCTTTGGAGAGAGTCAAGGTGATTCAGGATAGACTCCGTACAGCCCAGTCTAGACAGAAGAGTTACGCGGACCGGAAGGTTCGTGATGTTTCCTACATGGTTGGAGAGCGGCTTCTGCTTCGGGTTTCGCCTATGAAAGTCGTTATGAGATTTGGGAAGAAAGGGAAGTTGAGTCCGAGGTTTATTGGCCCTTTTGAGATATTGAGCGGAGTTGGGGAGGTTGCATATGAGCTTGCCTTACCTCCCAGCCTGGCAGGGGTTCATCCGGTATTTCATGTTTCGATGCTCCGGAGGTATCACGGTGATCCGTCGCATGTGTTGGATTTCAGCTCAGTCCAGTTGGAGAAGGATCTATCTTATGTTGAGGTGCCAGTGGCAATATTGGACAGGCAGGTCAGGAAGCTGAGGTCGAAGAACATTGCGTCCGTGAAGGTTCAGTGGCGGGGTCAGCCGGTCGAGGAGGCGACCTGGTAGACCGAGCAGGATATGCACAGCCAGTACCCTCATCACTACTTCAGGAATGTCTTTGTGCTCGTTCGAGGATGAACGAATGTAAGTGTGGGAGGATGTAACGACCCGGCCGGTCGTTTTTTGAATTTACGCTCCGATCCCCTATTAACAGTTTCCCCAAGTTTGTTTCTCCTAATTTGGTTTGCCGGGATGTTCAGTTTTGAGTTTCGGAGAGTTTTGGGAAACTTAGATCCTAAATGAGAGTTTAAGTGTTGGAAAGTAGTCGTAGTCGGAACAGTGTAAAGACGGCCTCGAGAAATCCGATGGTTCTGTTAGCTCTGTTAGGTTAGTTTCGGGGTTTAGGGGCGTGGTCGGATTATGTTTTGGAGGTCCGTAATGAATTTAGACTTGAAATGCCGAAAGTTGAATTTTTAAAGTTTTCGGTTCGATAGTGAGATTTTGATCCGAGGGTCGGAATGGAATTTCGAGAGTTGCAGTAGTTCCGTTATGTCATTTGTGATGTGTGTGCAAAGTTTCAAGTCATTCGGAGGTGGTTTGGTTAGGTTTTTGATCGAAAGCGTATTTTGAGGAAATTTGGAGTTCTTAGGCTTAAATCCTCGATTAATTCGAGTTTCCGATGTTGTTTTAGATGGTTGAAAGGTTGGTACAAGTTTGAATGAGGTATTAGGTGTTATTGGTGCTTTTGGTTGAGGTCCGGGGGGCCTCGGGATGATTTTGGATGGTTGACGGAAAGATTTTGAAGTTAAGAGATTGCAGATATTTGCTGCTTCTGATATTTTCACATCTGCGGTTTGGGGACCGCAGATGCGGCGCCGCAGATGCGGCAAGGTAAGCACAGATGCGGATTTTGGGTGCTCCTTCAGGTTCCGCAGATGCGGAAGTTTCACCGCAGAAGCGATTTCGCATCTGCGAAAGAAGAACCGCAGATGCGGCTCCTGGGCTCTTCAATGAAAGTCGCATATGCGACATCTTGGTCCGGCAGAAGCGGGACCGCAGATGCGGAAATAGCCGGGCAGAAATAGGAAATTTCGAGGGTTTGGTTTCGAAAGTTGAAAAATCGAATTGGAGCTCGGGAGAGGGCAATTTTGAGAGGGATTTGAAGAGGAGATCTCTGGGTAGCTATTCTTTAACCCTTTTTAGTTATATTCCATCAATCTTGGTAGAAATTGGGGGAAAAGTTCTTAGACCTTTAATTGAGGATTTGAGGGGTCATTTGGACTCCGATTTTAGTGTTCTTGTTATGTATAGACTCGTGAGAGTACGAGGTTTCTGAGAATATAAAATTCACCCGATTCCGAGATGTTGGCCTGAGGGGCATTTTGGTCATTTTACATAATTTGCGTATTAGCTTTGAATTAAATCGTAGAATCAGTTGCTTGAGATGTTATTTACAATATGCAATTGAATTGAATAGATTTGGGCCAATTGGAGTTGGATACTTGTGCCAAAAGCGTGGTTTCTAGTTGATTTTGAACCGGTTCGAAGTAAGTGGCTTGTCTAACCTTGTGTCGGGGACCTTTCCCCTTAGGATATGATATTTGGCAATTGAATGCCTTGTACA